TTCCCCCAGAAAGCACAAAATAAGTCTGTGCAGCTTTAAATATGAAATGAATCAAGTTTCTCTCTCTCCCATCTCCAAGGCTTCCTCAGGCCTTTGCTTTTCTTTTATGCATGAATCCCCTTCAGATTCTCAATCTTCTGCATGACCTCCATCTTTCCCTCCTTCTTTTCCATTCCCTCCAATGTCAGCGGTTGCTTTGCCTCCCGGCCATTTTCACTTCTCCACTTGGCAACTTTCCTTGTTCCTTCTTGCGCCGCAGCCTCCTCCATGCTCCTTCCACACGAGACCTTGCACAACGCGATTAGCCAAGACTTCCGACCGGCGCTCAGTTGCAGCAGGAGGCGTGAAACCCCTCGCTGGTGTCCTCTGCAAACGTGCTGTGCATGTGCTTCTACAGCTGGGAGCTGGCCTGCGCTCTCGGCCAAACATGGACACAGCAGTGTCCTCACAGGACCCAGATCTGCTTCATGACCTTCCAAAGGATCTGACAGCTCAGCAGAACAGCAGTCGAGTGAATCAACAGCACAGTGACCGAGACTGCGAGTCTATTGGCGCTTTTTGGTCAGAGGAACCCTCCACCTCAGCAGCAGGGGAAGATACTTATGGGAGGGAAGAGTATTCTTCCATCGAATCATCACCACCAAAGACATCTTCAGGACAAAACTGAGGCAGGCAAGCCAGCTGGATTTGGGAGAAAGTGATGTATGGAGGTGAGAGCTGGACCATAAAGAAGGCTGATCGCCGAAGAATTGATGCTTTTGAATTCTGGTGCTGGAGGAGACTCTTGAGAGTCCCATGGACTGCAAGAAGATCAAACCTATCCATTCTGAAGGAAATCAGCCCTGAGTGCTCACTGGAAGGACAGATCCTGAAGCTGAGGCTCCAATACTTTGGCCACCTCATGAGAAGAGAAGATTCACTGGAAAAGACCCTAATGTTGGGAAAGATGGAGGGCACAAGGAGAAGGGGACGACAGAGGACGAGATGGTTGGACAGTGTTCTTGAAGCTACGAACATGAGTTTGACCAAACTGCGGGAGGCAGTGGAAGACAGGAGTGCCTGGCGTGCTCTGGTCCATGGGGTCACGAAGAGTCGGACACGACTAAACAACAACAACAACGAGGGCCTTAATAGACAGGTGTATTGAGTACTCTCATAAGAACATAGAAGCATAGAATTGTATAGTTGGCCGGGGCATGATGTCCAACCAGTAGATAGCGGTCTACCGGTAGATCCCCATCTGATCCTGGTAGATCAAGGGATCCTTATCGTGTACAAAAAGTTATGGGGGGAAAGCCAAAAAACTCTGTGCAATCTTCTCCCCAAAAACTCAACAATTCTGGGCACTTCCCCTCCTAAATGAAGTTCAACAATTCTGGGCAATCCACCCACGCCACCCACGCTCCTCCTCCCTCCAATGACAATGGGTAGATCACCGCCAGTTTTTTTATACTGGGAGTAGATCACAGTCTCTTGGGAGTTGGACATGCCTGAATGCAGGAATCTCAGCTGAAGCATCCATGACAGATGGCCATCCAACCTCTGCTTAAAAACCTCCAAGGAAGGAGAGTCCACCGTCTCCCGAGGGAGGCTGTTCCACCGTCAAACAGCTATTTCTGTCAGAAAGTTTTTCCTGATGTTGAAGAATCTCCTTTCTTGTATCTTGAAGCCATTGGGTCAAGCCCTACCGTCCAGAGCAGGAGGAAACAGACCTGTTCCCTCTTCCATGGAACAGCCTTGGAGATATTTGAAGATGGCTCTCATATCTCCTCTCAGTTTCTTCTTTCCCAGGCAAAACATACCCAGCTCCTTCAACCATTCCTCATAAGGCTTGATCATCTTGGTCGCCTTCTTTGGGTTCAGTCAGTCAACCATCTACAAATTTGCCTAAAAGGTATCTCATCCAGTCCATATTTTGCTAGCTTCTCCACAAGAATATCATAGGGGACATTCTCCAATGCCTTACTGAAATCAAGATACACTACATCCACAGCGTTCCCCTGATCCATATCTCCTCTCAGTCTCCTCTTTACCAGGCTAAACATACCCAGTTCCCTTGACCATTCCTCACAAGGCTTGGTTTCCAGTCCCTTGATCATCTGGGTCACCCTGCTCTGCACACGTTCCAGCTTGTCAACATCCTTCTTAAATTGTGGGGGCCACAATAAGTAGAGCTGGCTGGATGAGGCCAATAGCCGATCTAGTCCAGCATCCTGTTCTCACTGTGGCCAACAAGATGCCTGTGGCAAAACCTGGAAGCAGGATCCGAGCACGAGAACGACTCTCCCCTCCTGTGTTTTTCCAGCAACTGGCACTCAGAAGCAGAGCATGGCAAGATGGTGGACCAAAATGCAACTTTGGCGTGTCGGGCCCAAACTCACAAATTATACTATCCTCTTATAAATCCCTTTCTCCCCCCATTAAATATCTCTGGGTACTCTCTCTGCTAATTGAACCAGGGCCGGATTAAGGCCCTAAACTACTGAAGGTAATGGGGACCTTTATATGTCCAGCTGTCCTTTGTCAACAACAAATTGTTGCTGTTTTTTGTGTAGAATATATGCTATATGGTCATTTATGGACCTCATAGGTATCTAAAGCCATCTGCACATAACAAAATGTGTCTTTTATCCAAGTAATTGTTGAACTGAAATACAATCAAGAAGTCTATTAATAGCGAAATAATTATTAAGCTCTAACTTAAAATGATTTTTTATTCATAACAAACTTAAAAAGCAAACACATTGGCATTTGGCAATAACAAAAGTTCCTTTAGAAACACGATTTACAAAGACTCATAATCAAGTCTCTAGAAACTTGCTATAACATGAAATAATAATAGCAAACCAGTGATATTTTAGGAGAAGGCTAGCAGGCGGGGCCCATTACTTACGACATAGGAGCACACAACACAAAACACTGTTGCTGTATGTAGGTTTTATTTTATTTGTTTTTTATCTTATATTTTGGAAATGTACATCCAGTTTTTTTCTCCTTTCATTTTTGGGGGGCCCCCCAAGAGAGTGGGGCCCTAAGCTATAGCTTGTTTAGCTTATACGTAAATCCAGCAGTGAATTGAACTATAAAGAAGTGTAAACTAAGATGGACATATTGACAGTTATTGTATTGTCCGTGTGAGGTGAGGCGTCTCACTCTTTCTCCCTGCTTTTTAAAAATAAATTTGCAGTTAAAACACTTCTTCTGTTTGTGCATTAAAACAAGAATGAGGAGAAACACATGAAATTGTCCAAAAAGTCAGGATCTGGATGAGAGATGGATGATGCTGCGTGGACAATGTGGAAGAGATACTTGCACTGGGTACACCAAATGAATTTTAATGTGCTGTGTGTATTCAGCCTCTGTAGGAATCTCATCAAACAGCACTGGGGGCACAGACCTCGCACATTTATCCCCACAGACTTCCTGTCTGTGCTTATCTAACATGTTTTGGAACATCTGCATCACCCTATAGACACCCTGTCAAAGCGAAACTCCTTCTTTGACCAAACCATCAACTGAAAAATTCTGATTTACATTACTATTTACGATAACCAGAGAATGTTAAGCTATAACAAGAAGACGGAAGTTTTGTGCATTCACACAAAAATGCACAGCAAAAGCAAATATGCCAACATTAAAAAAAAAAAAAACCTTAACCGAGGTCATTGTGCCAGCTTGAAAGAAAGAGGAAATAACGGGATTTGGTTCTAGGGCATGTTAGATACTAAACTTTTGCGCAACTCCTGTACAGAATTTTCAAGTCTTTCCATTATATTAGTAATAGTAGACCGTCTTGAGCGAAGATCCTTGTGCACCTATGTTGGCAAAATTCATTTACAATTTTTATTTGTTTCATTTCTTTCCAAATATGTAAACTGCTCTGCATTTAAACAGAACAGAATATAGAACACAATACAAACCATAAGATAATGTTAAAAACATGAAGCCAACAAGGATTTAAAGCTACAGAATCAAAACAAACTTAATTTGGGAAGACTTGGGGGGTGGGGAGTAGAAGAGCAGTTTTCAACGAATGTCAAAAACACAAGTATTGGGCTTGCTTCATGTCTAAGGCAAGAAAATCCCAGAGACCTGGTGTCACAATACAAAAAGCTTTGGGTTGCAGCATACTTTACCTAAGAGGTATTCAGAGATCTAAGTGTCTGGGGTGAAATGTTCCTATGTTTTCTTTATGCTCCTATGCTCCTATTCACACACACACACACTACTAATTTTTATTATTTTTTTCTAAGTTACATTTCAAAATATTCATTTAAACTAAGATTACCAGATGTCCCCATTTCCCGGAGACAGTCCCCAAATTTACAAAACAGCCCCCATACAAAATCCATTGAAGTTGAAAAGTGTCCCCGGATTAATTGAAAAAAATCTGGTAACCTTAATTTAAACAACCTTAAATCAATGACTTCCCTTCTTCTCTTTCCACGGTTCATTTTGCATACCATACATCCCTGCATATTTTACATGAGCTAAACCATTCAGTATTCCACTGTTACATCCATCAAAACCTATTTACACTGTTGAATTTATCTTAATGCTACCAGCGTTTTTAAATGAACACCCGCCCATATATTCAGTAAACATTTTCCAGTCTTTCTTTAAACGTATGGTCTTCTTGTTCTCTTATTCTATATGTTAAATCTGCAAGTGGTGCATAACCCATCAGTTAAAATTGCCATTCTTCTTCGGTTGGGACCTCGCTCGTTTTCCATTTTGGGGCTAGCAAAACACTCCTACGATCCTGTTCAAGAGTGTTTGCAGCTACTGAACATGGCTAATTGCTATAAGGTATTTCTCGCAACCTGATTGAGAGAGGACAGTTGCAGAGCGAACACATATGCGAAAACACATATGCCCGTCTTCTGCTATTGTTGAAGATGAAACACCTCCCATGGTGCCATAAAAAATGACAGGCTGTCGTGGGTTTTCACAAGCATCCTATAACTTAGGGGAGGGGGGCCTGTGGCTGTCCAGGTGTTTCTGTCCAGAAACCAAGCCTGATGAGGAACGATTGAAGGAGCTGGGTATGTTTTGTCTGGAAAAGAGGATGTTGAAAGGAGATATGATAGCCATCTTCAAATATCTCAAGGGCCGTCACATGAAAGATGTTTTCTCCTGTTCTGGAGGGTAGGACCCGAATCAATGGATTCAAGTTACAAGGAAGGAGATTCGGACTCAGCATCAGGAATTTCTGATGGTCAGAGCAGTTTGACAGTCAAACAGACTCTGCTTCTGAACAGATTTAGCTTTGAATATATGCTATATGGTAATTTATGGACCTAATAGGTATCCAAAGCCATTTGCTCATAACAAAATATGTATTTTATCAAAGTAATTGTTGAACTTATCTTATATTTTGGAAATGTACATCCAGTGTTTTTTTTTTCTTTTAAATTTTATGGGGGCCCCCAAGAGAGTGGGGCCCTAAACTATAGCTTGTTTAGCTTATATATAAATCTGGCACTGTTTCTGAAGATGGATGGATGTGCGCACTGCATACATTTTAAAGCACGTTATTTCTCCTGAAGTATCCCGGATCCAGTCGGTTGTTAAGGCTGCTGGGAACTGTAGTTCTGTGAGGGGTGAACTACAGTTCCCAGGATTCTTGGGAGAAAGGTTCTTGAGAGCAGAAGCAGGAAGGTCTACAAGACCTACACAATTATTCAAGCCTGCTAACTGCTGTTAACAGCAAACTGCTAAGTCAATGTGACTCGCGACCCATCTTGGGTGATGACGCATTATCCTAATAAAAAGTAGTCAACCGATCTATGGGCCTTAGTCAGAAGCTGTATGGTTTGTGTATGGAGTAGTCTGTGGAACAGTGCTAAGGCAGACAGAGTGGCTCCAGGACTCTAGGAAATCAGTCTTAGTTCCTGTGCATCTGTGAAGGGTCAGAGAGCTGCTATGACCACTCTGTGCATGATCTTTAACTATGCTGTTTCTGAACAACTGTATTTTCGCAAGAAAAAGTTTTATTCTGTTTGTGAAGAAGACTCTGCCTTGATTAATTTACCGCTGCGCAACAGGGAGGGTGTGCTTTAAAGGGGACGTGGGTGGCGCTGTGGGTTAAACCACAGAGCCTAGGACTTGCCGATCAGAAGGTCGGCGGTTTGAATCCCCTTGACGGGGTGAGCTGCCATTGCTCGGTCCCTGCTCCTGCCAACCTAGCAGTTCGAAAGCACGTCAAAGTGCAAGTAGATAAATAGGGACCGCTCCAGAAGGAAGGTAAACGGCGTTTCCGTGTGCTGCTCTGGTTCACCAGAAGTGGCTTAGTCGTGCTGGCCACATGACCTGGAAGCTGTCTGCGGACAAACGCCGGCTCCCTTGGCCTATAGAGCAAGATGAGCGCCGCAACCCCAGAGTCGGTCACGACTGGACCTAATGGTCAGAGGTACCTTTACCTTTATGTAAGCAGTCAGTGTCATGGTCATTGGTATTCAGGCTGCCAGCCAGCCATCATCATCAGCTATTAAGCACAGGATTTTTCTGAATTCATCAGAGACAATATATCCAGCTTTCAGCACAAATTCTGACTTTTCTGCACCTTCTGTTCCCCACTTGAACTGTCGATAAGACATTTTTCTGCTGATTTCTTTCAATGGTGGTTGTAAATCCCCTCTCACGAACATTCTTTAGAGGCAGCAAACTTTTGAAGAGAGGGGCATTCCCAAGAAAGCCGTTATCACGACAAAGAGGAAGGGGACGAGCTCTTTTCTATTGAAGATGCCAAAATGCCCTGTTTGCGAGAATAATTAGGGTAGGAGAAAGGGAAATGGGAAAAAAAGTGCTGGTTCAGTTTACAGATTAGACCCCTAACTCTGCCAATATCTTAGGGGCTTCCCCCCCTCCCAATTTCAGAATGCATGCATTCAATCAGACCAGTAAGAAAGCAAGTTCCCCTGTCTGAATGATTGTGGGACATCAAGAGCATAACTTCCTTTTAAACTATTGTCTTTTGTCTGAAGGTTTGTTCTGCTGTTGCACCTCACTTTTTGGGAACCTTTTTTTTCTACCGATAGATAGATACAGTAGATAGATAGATAGATAGATAGATAGATAGATAGATAGATAGACAGACAGACAGACAGAGATAGATAGATCATGTTCCAAACATTTAAAAAACAAAACAAAACACCAGAATGAAAAAATGTGAGTAGTAACACTTTCTTCAAACAAGCCTGGCTGCTCGTGCCTTTCCTCCTTTGTAGCCACTGAGTCAAGTCAAAGCAGTGACTGACAAGTGAGTTGTTTAGTCATCAGACAAGAGGAATCATTGGGGTCCCTAAAGAATTGTTGTTTTCCCCTCCCCTTTAGTACACTTCTGTATCATTTCCTAGTCCTTGGGATCACTGCAGTTCGCCCTTCCTTTTCTTCTAGCAACTGGCTCTTTCCTGTGGTGGTTTTCTCTGAGATCAGGTACCCTCTAGAAATTAAACGAAAGAACCCACCACACAATGAGTTTGTGTGGATGTCAAAGAACCCCACACTCTCCCCAAATGGCAATGCAAACTGAATTCCGGCCCGTCTGTCAACCTTAAAAAAATGTCAACAATTTTGGTCGGCCCTCACGCATGTTCACTTCATCAAATCTGGCCCTCTTTGAAAAAAGTCCCTGGTATACATGCAACGGTATATGTGTTTACTCGGAAGTAAGTCCTTTTGTTTGTAATGGGGCTTACCTCCAGGTAACTGGATTCAGGACAGGTGTCCTTGTGCCTTTAAGAACGGTGTGGTAGATACCTAGCATCTGCTTGGTTGTTGGGGCTGCCACTGTCTCCCCCCCCCCCAATTTTTTAATTGGTTTTCACAAAATTGCAGACACACAAACAAACAAATAAACATAAATCATAACCTTATTAAAATTAATCTTATTAACATTGTTAAGTGACTTCCTTGCATCCCCCTGGTTGAATTTCAGTGCATATCCTTTTAACGGTTTTCCAAACAAAGTTCTTACAAGCTTAACTTAAACACTTAACATCATTCTATCTTACCAATTCAACATTAAACATATTGATTCATCACTTAACTTATTTAAATCCTAAGCCAATCTAGTACTTGCAAGCTATTTCCAATTAATTTAACTTAACGTATTTAACTAAGGGGCTGCCACTGTCTTGCTCTGTGCTGCGATCTGGTGGCTTAAGATGCAACAGCAGCGCTTCTGGTCTCCTTTCCTCCTTTCTTGACAGGATCGGGCTATAATTGTTGCCCTCGGGAAACCAAACCACGTCTTCGGGCGAGGTAGAGGGCTGTTTCCGGTGCTCCTGAGGATCATGCCAATGGTGGCAGAGAACTGCAACTCTTCAGATGTTTAGGGACTGCAACTGCTCGTCGCCCCTGACTATTGGCCATGTTTGCTGGGGCTGATGGGTGTTGAAAGACCACAAGCCAGACATTCCTGGTCTACAGGCTCTGTGATCCCTATTCTTCCTGCACAGCTACAGTTCCCAAAGTAGTTTAACAGGGAACTCTGGGAATTGTCACTCTGTGAGGAGCAATGATTCTTCAATATCAACTTCGTTGGACTGGTCATGTTGTGCGGATGCCTGATGATCGTCTTCCAAAGAAACTACTCTATTCCAAACTTAAAAATGGAAAGCGTAATGCTGGTAGTCAACAAAAGAGGTTCAAAGACTCTCTCAAGGCAAATCTAAAAAAATGTAGTATAAACACCGACAACTGGGAAACACTTGCCTGCGAGTGCTCCAGTTGGAGAACAGCCTTTACCAAAGGTGTCATGGGCTTTGAAGATGCTTGAACTTAGGACAAAAGGGAGAAACTTGCTAAGAGGAAGGCACGCTTGGCAAATCCACAGTGTTATCAGCTCCCGCCCGGAAACCTATGTTCCCACTGTGGAAAGACGTGTGGATCCAGAATTGGCCTCCACAGTCACTTATGGATTCACTGTTAAAACCGTGTTTATGGAAGACAATCTTACTCGGCTACGAGGGATCACCAAAGAAGACGACGACAATACTAGCAGAAGGGAGGTTTCAGACTGTTTTGCAGCCATGAGAGAGAGAGACAGAGAACACACAGAGGGAACTTAGAGGAAGAATCACAGGAGCTGCTTGAATTGGCTGTCATTTCCCCCTTGCTACTTGTTGTTAGAATTCCTGCTCCGTGATTGCAGTCATGGGATTTTTGTCTATCACCTGACGGTGTATGTTTTGTCTCCACAGAGTGGGAAGTGACGGAGACAGGATGTTTGTGTTACTGTGTTCCGTGAAGTGGGACTATTGTCCTTTGTTCTTTTTCTCTTTGCTGTCTGATGCTAGAGAGAGAGGAGCCATGTTGCAACGCTCTGTGTGTGTTTATATGTAGATTTATAAAGTAGATTAGCCAAAATGCTGAGTTGCTGAGGTCTGTCATGCGAAATGCGCAAACTCTGTGGATCCCTAAGTGTGCCAGTGTCTGTTGGCATCGGTTGCTGTGATATTTGGGCTGAAGAAAGCTTATGAAGCTCCTGAACATGCCAGTCAGGGATGTGTCTCTGCCAGAGTCCTACTCGAGTGTAGGCTGAACTCCTGACACTTTTATGTGTTTCTTTTCTTCCAACCTCAGGTTTGGATGCTACTCACTAATCATAGAATTATAGGAATGTAGAGTCAGAAGGGACCCCCAAAGCTCATCTAGTTTAACCCCCTTCAGTGCAGAAATCACAGCCAAAAAATCCTGGACAAGACAACCATCCAACCTTTCTTTAGAAACCTCCAAGGAAGGAGAGTCCATCACTTTCTGAGGGTGCCCATTCCACTGTCGAACAGCTCAGGAAGTTCTTCCTAACGTTTAGTTGGAATCTCTTGGGCTCTGTCCACACGAGACTTTTATAAAAGCAGCCTCATGCCAGTTTAAACAGTCACGGTTCTCCCCCCAAAGCATTATGGGAACTGCGGTTTGCTGACTGCTGTTCGGAAAACACTATCCCCCTCAAAGAGCTACAGTTCTTACGGAGGTTCCTGTGAAGAGGGATTGATTTGGGAAACCAATCTGAGTGCTGTAGCTCTGGGAGAGGACTAATAATAATAATAATAATAATAATAATAAATTTATTTATACCCCGCCCTCCCTGGCCAGAGCTGGGCTCAGGGCGGCTAACACCAATAAAATCACAGTAAAAACGTAATAGGGGGAAAAGAGAGAAAACAAAACAAAACAAAAAATTAAAATACAGGTTAAAATGCAATTTAAAATGCAGCCTCATTTTAAAGTAGCCGATAAATCAAGACCATAAGGGGAGGGAAACATAAGGGTCAGACTGAGTCCAAACCAAAGGCCAGGCGGAACAGCTCTGTCTTGCAGGCCCTGCGGAAAGATGTCAAGTCCCGCAGGGCCCTAGTCTCTTGTGACAGAGGGTTCCACCAAGTCGGGGCCAGTACTGAAAAGGCCCTGGCCCTAGTTGAGACCAATCTAACTACCTTGTGATCTGGGACCTCCAAAATGTTGTCATTTGTGGACCTTAAGGTCCTCCACGGGGCATATCAGGAGAGGCGGTCCCGTAGGTACAAGGGTCCTAGGGGTGTCTTAACATCTCTCAGCACCCTGAACAAACTACAGTTTCCAGGATTCCTGGCAGGGAAACGATGGCTGTTTAAAGGGGCAGAGTAGTGTTTCAAATGTGCAGAGGTTGCCTTCGTACCATGGGGTGCCTAGAAAAAGAGACGACAGAAGAACAGCCGCAGCAGCAAAATAAAGTAAATTGCTGAAGCAGAGACAGGACAGGAGTGATGGAATCTTGAAAAAGAAGGTGGCAAGACCTGTAATGGAAAGGTAGCTTAGAAAGGAGAAGTGAAAAAGGACATCGGATTTTTGGAAGTTTTCTGTGCTTCAAATTGCCAATTCAGCAATGCAAATTCTGAGGCAAAGGGTGGGAAGTGGACTATGATGCAACTTTGCGTATATGATTTCTAAAAATAGCCCCTTGGCTGATGATGTAGAGGCCAGCTCTATGGAATAAATAGAGCCCGTCTTGGCCACCAAAACTGCACCCTGGCAAGCGCTGAAGGCTGAGTTCTCCCTTTGCTCAGTGTGCAGCTGACAACCGAATTCAGAATGGGATCCCGCTTCCTGGCTCTGCTGTTTGCCCTACTTCTTACCTGCCACATCAGCTACGCAGGTAAGTACCATCGTGGGGTTTTCTTCTCCTGCTTTCCCCCTCTGATTGGTCATTCATGATTACAATCTTAAGTTTATCCCTTCGATTCGTTTAATGTATTTCTATACTGCCCAGTAACCAAGGTCCTCTAGCCAATTTACAGAATGGAGGTTAGAAACCATCAAATTTATAAAGCAAACTGCTTTTGTCTTTTGTTTCTCTGCCACCCTTTTGTCCACAGAGCTCGAGTCTTTGCCTCACAACAATCCTGTGAGGGAGGGCTGGGCCTGAGAGACACCCTTTCTCTTCAAGGTGGGCAGAATTCTGAACCGGCCAGAAATGTTATTTACTTTTACATTTCTATACTGCCTTTGCTCCAGAGAGTTTGAGGTGGGACAGGGCTCCCCCCACAATTGCTTGCTTGCTCGCTCAGAAACTAAAGACCAGACCCTATTCAGTGAGGTGAAAGGAAGCAGCAAACATTGACTGCACTATTGTGCCTCCTCTAGAGCATTTGCCCTTCTCCTGGTTTTCTCCACCCCCATCATTCTACCCGAACACTGAGGTCCAGGACTGAGGGCCTTCTGGCGGTTCCCTCGCTGCGAGAAGCCAAGTTACAGGGAACCAGGCAGAGGGCCTTCTTGGTGGTGGCACCTGCCCTGTGGAACGCCCTCCCACCAGATGTCAAAGAGAAAAACAACTACCAGACTTTTAGAAGACATCTGAAGGCAGCCCTTTTTAGGGAAGCTTTTAATGTTTAATAGACTATTGTATTTTAATATTTTGTTGGAAGCTGCCCACATGGGTGGGGTATAAATATATTTATTATTATTATTATTATTATTATTATTATTATTATTATTATTATATTGGCAGCCTTTGCCTCCCTTCCCAAGAAATCATTGAGAAACTACAGTGGTACCTCGGGTTACATACGCTTCAGGTTACATACGCTTCAGGTTACAGACTCCGCTAACCCGGAAATATTACCTTGCGTTCAGAACTTTGCTTCAGGATGAGAACATAAATCGTGTAGCGGCAGCAGGAGCCCCATTAGCTAAAGTGGTGCTTCAGGTTAAGAACAGTTTCAGGTTAAGAACAGACCTCCAGAACAAATTAAGTTCTTAACCCGAGGTAACACTGTATAGGATTAGTGCTAAACAATGTAGAGATGCTGTTCTCAGTAGGCAGTTCTGCCAAGTCCCAGGTGCTTTGAAATGCCTTTATGTCTGCCTAGAAATCTCTCAAATTCTCCCCCCCTGGGGGAAATTTACAGCATATCTGAAAAATATATGTGATGCACAGACAACGCTTGTTGGTTTTGAAGAGACTCTGTGAAATAGTAAGAAATACTGCAAAAAAGAGAGTAGGATGAAAAGGAGTGGGGAAAGGCAATATCATGTTTAGAAATGCGTCAATAAATAGAAATTTTTTGAAAGATTGACAGAGAAACTGAGGGAAGTCAAAAATTGAAGCATGAGTGTAAAATAATTTGTTGACTGTATAAAACTTGTTTGGAAAATGAATAAAAATTATTTTTTTTTAAAAAAAGAAATCTCTCAAATTCTCAATCGCTGTATCTTCTGCCTGCAGCTATCTTTGATCCGACAATAGGCTGCAAATGTGCAAAAGTAAGGTCCAGATTCATCCCTCCTTCTCAATACGAAAGTGTCAGTATTTTTCCGCCCGGAAGTGCCTGCAACAAGATGGAAGTAATGTAAGTGACCTCAGTCATGCATGACCATCATAGCAAAGATCCAAAATAACTTCCGCATTTCCTACATAACTTAGGGTTGCCATATGTCTGGAATTCCACCCCCGCCAACCTCTCCGAAATGCTGCAGTTGGAAGCAGTGTCCAGGCAGAAATCGCTTTAAAATGTCTGGGAAAATCTGGAGGCATGGCAACCTATGTTTTCTTAAAAAAAATACATCAAACAACAAAAAAATACCTCAATGATTTTGGGCAAAACAGTTCAACAACTTTGCCAGAAAAAGTTCAACAACTTTTCTGCCCTGATTTTCACTGTTATGGCAATCGTAACATAACTAATTACTCCCCCCCCCTCCATCTTTCAACTGATTTCTGTCTTCTGGTGTGGAAACAAGCCCCGTGTAAGTGTTCTGTATATAAAAAGAACATGCTAAAGTTATTTGTGGTTAAGCCCAATGGGTTAAGTTCACTGACACTTAAAAGCACAATTCTTCACAGGTTTACTTGGAAGTAAGCCTCACTCTCTTCAGTGGGTCTTATTCCCTCATTAGCAGATTTCCTCTATTTCCTCTTTGCAGACAGGCAATTCCTGCGCTGCGACGGCTCAGTCGGTAGGGCATGAGTCTCTCAATCTCAAGGCTGTGGGTTTGAGCCCCATGTTGGGCAAAAGATTCCTGAATTGCAGGGGTTGGACTAAACGACCCTCGTGGTCGTTTGAGCTGGCGTACAGCTTCCGGGTCATGTGGCCAGCATGACTAAGCCGCTTCTGGTGAACCAGAGCAGTGTACGGAAACGCCGTTTACCTTCCCGCTGGAGCAGTACCTATTTATCTACTTGCACTTTGACGTGCTTTCGAACTGCTAGGTGGGCAGGAGCAGGGACCGAGCAACAGGAGCTCACCCCGTCATGGGGATTCAAACCGCCGACCTTCTGATTGGCAAGTCCTAGGCTCTGTGGTTTAACCCACAGCGCCACCCGCATCCTGCTATCCGCATTACTTGCCATTAAATATCACCTTGGCATGTGCTGTATCATGCCTATGGTGGGAAACCTCTGGCCTATGTGGTCCTAACTGACCTCCCCATTTGGCCCATGAGGTCATTCTGGTTACAAGAGATGTTCACGCATTATGCATCACACATGTAAAGGTGCTTTATGTGAATAACATTCCTGCATCTCAGGGGGTTGGACTGGATGACCCCCGGGGTCTCTTTCAACATTCTATGGTTCTATGACTGCACAGATGCTGGTTTTCAAAGTCAAAATAGCAACTAGATGCCTGGAAAAATGTAGAGTAGCAATTGCAGGTGCTGCTGTACTTGCGTTGTTGTTCCTGTATGCAAGCTGCAAGTTGTCCTTCCTTATTATCATAGAAGGAAACACAAAACTGATTAGACAAATAGGTGGGTGACTTAGCCAGCGTTCAGCTCTTAGCTTAGCAGGGGGCTGGAGATTGGTCTCTGTGGCCATCAAGTAGTCTCCTCTCAAAGGTTTCTTGACGAGGCTTCCAGTTCAGCTTGCCTGCTTTGCACAAAACTGCTAATTCCAAATTCTTTCCACTTTTCTTGTTTTACAGAATCACAATCAGGGAGAGAGGAACCAAAGTATGCGTCAATCCTGAAGTAAAATGGGTGCAGAATTTAGTGAAGATAGTTAAAGGTACGTAAGTTCCAATAGACATTCCCCTCCCTGGCTGGCTTTGAGCCTGCGAACTGGTCTGTCTAGCCGGCCCAGCATTCTCTAACAGCCTGGAAGCAACATTCAATAATAATAATAATAATAATAATAATTTATTATTTATTATTTATACCCCGCCCATCTGGCTGGGTTTCCCCAGCCACTCTGGGCGGCTTCCAACAGAACACAGGACACTAAAATACAATAACCTACTAAACATTAAAAGCTTCCCTAAACAGGGCTGACTTCAGATGTCTTCTAAAAGTCTGGTAGTTGTTGTTCTCTTTGACATCTGGTGGGATGGCATTCCACAGGGCGGGTGCCACTACCAAGAAGGCCCTCTGCCTGGTTCCCTGTAACTTGGCTTCTTGCAGTGAGGGAACCGCCAGAAGGCCCTCGGCGCTGGACCTCAAGGTCCCAGGCAGCAATCATTCTCTGCTCTCCTACTTGGAGATGCCCCTCCCCCCTTCCAATGCTGCTAAAGGATGCACTTTGGCCCTAGAATGGAATTTCCCCATCTTTTAAACAAACTGCCTGCAGAATGTGCAGGCCGCCAAGCTGACCGCGGTATTACTGGATTCTTGCCCACAGGCCTGCCGCGAAAAGAAAAGAGGAAGTTTACTGATCCTCAGCCTCTCTGTTCACCTTGGCTGGGGGTCACAAGTTCCGCAGGGCTGTGTCAACACAGAAAACGCACTTTTGTGATTTTAACCATATTCCATTTCTTTTTTTTATTTACAATTCAATTGCAGGAACTCAAAAGTCTGCTGCTGCTGCTGCGAACCAACGTCTGTGATGGCCTCGGAAGGCAAAAGGATGGATGGTGCCCCGGCCAGTCCCAAATGTGAAGCTTGACACTTTTCCTCTCTGCTTTTCAAATTCTGTCTGCCCAAGGAAATGGTGGGAGGGGGAGACCCAGGGGCGGAGGAAGGGAGGTGCAGTGGGGGTGGGCCACCCCACTGAGGGGGGTGACAAAATGCTGGGCAGCACTCACCGCGGGGCCTGCAGTCTCTCCTGGGAGCGACACGGTGGCTACCCCATGTGCTGGTCCCAGGGGCTAACCGAGAGGCGAGGTCCGAGTCCAGTCCGAGGTCGATGGTGTGGTATGGAGGCTGTCCGTCAAAGCTGTAGCTGGGTCCAAGGCAGGGAGTCAGGCGAGGCCAGGAACTCTGACAGAAGAGCATGACAGGGTGCAGGCAGGAACAGGCTAGCAACAACGTTGCTCCCACAACCTGGGACTGGGGCTGGCCGGCTTTTATCTGCCCCGGGGCATAGGGCGGCCCTGGTCCACAGGTGACTCACCTCTCCTGGCCTGGAGGCGAGCACTCCTCCTCCGGGAACTTAGTTCCCTCTGCCTCTCTGCCCTGAGCCTCTGCAGCTCAGGAGAGGCTAGAGGGTTACTGGACCCAGAGGCAACCTCAGCTTCCCCTGACGGGGCTGAGAGTGGAGCACCTGCAGGCAATGGGTCCTCCATCCCCTCAGGAGCCAGAGCAGACTCAGCTGGTGCCTGCACCTGAGGATCCAGCACAGGTGAGGACCCTTCAGGCTCAAGCCCCAGCCCCGGCTCAGCTGGTTCTGGAGGCGGGGACTCCTGTGCAGGCTGGGATTCCTCAGGTTCAGCCTCCGAGTCCGAATCCCAGGCCATCACACCCCAAACGGTCTGCCCACCTCCTCCCCCTCAGCTGTAGGGCGGTTGAGTGGGAGGAGGCAGGCAGACAGACGCCTCAGAGCCCCCCAGAGTGTCCTGCCCCGGCTGGCCCCACCCCCATGGCAGCTGGTCCTGCCCCTGGACGCATGGCACATGCACCGCCCAATCGGCTTGCTCCACCGCTGGGGAGACCCCCAATCTTGTCGGAGCCGTAAATTAGATTGGGCTTGCATTTCTGAAAATCTGCCTCTCTCTCTCCAGTTCTGTGATTCTAACTCCACCTCTCCGCAAAATTGTAGCTTTAGGTGAGACTTAGGGAGACTTCCGCAGATCCTCAGGATATCTTAACACGGCGTTAGTATGAACTGTGCAAGATTTTCAGAAATGCAAAATTGTGATAAAGTATATGGGTCGTTGTGGGGAGGTTCGCCTGAAACTGAGAAGTGGCAACTGTTGTCCCATCGCGTGGTTGGAAGAAAATCTGATTGGGTTGAGGGTCAAGCAGGAAAGTAGAGATGTCCCAGTTCTGCTTGCCTTTTCCATATGTGCCTTTGTAGCCCTATATCACTCCTCCACCCCCTCCATTTTTCTCTGTCCTTCTGTGTTTTGAAATGCAGGTCTCTCCCTTCCCCAAAATGCGATTCCCAAAATTCTCAGGTTTGGCCTTTCTTGGTTCAGCCTGTTTTCAGAAGCCTGACCACTTGCTTTCTAGCAGAATCGAAATACATTTAAAATACTGCTGGAGCAGGTATTGCGATATGATTAGAACCACGGAAGAATAATGTGGCATTTCACTTGTTAGCATAAATGAAGGCAATTTTAAAAAAACAAAAACGTGCTATTATATCTTCTAGCAGACTGTTGCTGTTTCCTGTAATCTGTTGCTGTTGTTTTAATTTACAATCCCGCTAGAATGTGATTATATTTAAAGTGATTGGGTTTTGTTTTTGTTACTCTATGTTTAAGAACATAAAAGTCAAACAATAAAATTTATCTCGCTAAGTGATGTGTCTCCTTTTAATCGGATTTTGGCATTCACACAACAAGCATTTGGTGCAGCTACAGAAGCACTCAGAAGTGAAAGTCTTATATTTTGCTAGCAGGGCAATTCCATGAAATTGTCAACCTACAGACTCTTTTTATTTTCATATATAAGTCTGTATCATTCTAAAGATGATTTTGCATTGAGTTCATTACCTGGCAATAGTTTTTCAAACAGACATTTTACTTGTGTGTAAAACAACCAAAAATATGGCATGCAATATGACTAAGAATTTATCTGTTCCCCACCCCCTAAAGTTGTGTTAAAGAGCTCTCCAAGAGGTTAATTACCCTTTGTTTTAGTGATACATTTGCCTTCTTGTCTGCTGAAATGACAATAAATTTTATGTTAGGAACAAAATCAGATGCACTAAGTTGTGGGCGAACATATCAGACGACACAGCGATTCTTCAAACAGCTCTTGTTTATTCAGAGGCCAGAACAGAACTGAACTGAAGAGCTCAGTCAGCCTGCTTACATAGAGCTCCAGAACAACGTAACTGTAGCAACTTTCTAAAACTATCCAATCACTGAACGTCACTTTCGATCCTTCATTTGCATACAAACTATCCAATCACTGAACGTCACTTTCGATCCTTCATTTGCATAACTATCTACAGTATCCCCCTGCTGGCCCAGGGTGAGAACTTCAGTACATAACACTTAGGGCAACAAAATTTGGTTGGTTGAGCCTGTTACATTAGTCACAAAAACACACACTCCTCCCTCTCTCAGACAACAAAGGAGGATTCCTTGGGGTTTTACTTTAGTGAGGTGTTGAGCAGTGCTATTTCTCTAGAAAAAGAGGTGCTGGAACTCACCATGAACACCTCCCTTGATCTATTAAATAAAATAATAAATAATAATAATAATAATAATAATAATAATAATAATAAAATTTTATTTATATCCCGCCCTCCCCAGCCAAAGCCGGGCTCAGAGTGGCTAACAACAGTAAAATAATACAGCATTCTAAAATCAGTTCATTATAAAATCAGTTCAAATCAAATTAATGGCAACCATTGGGCTAGAGTTCTGTGAAGAATTACCAAAGGAGGGGGTCAGGCTGTGCCTTGGCCAAAGACCTGGTGGAACAGCTCCATCTTGCAGGCCCTGAGGAAAGATGTCCCACAGGGCCCTAGTCTCTTGTGACAGAGTGTTCCACCAGATCGGAGCCACGGCTAAAAAAGCCTTGGCTCTGGTTGAGGCCAGCCTAACCTCCCTGTGGCCCGGGACCTCCAAGGTGTTTTTGTTTGGAGACCGTAAGGTCCTCCGTGGGACATACCAGGACTTTGAATTC